CCACATCGTTTGATTTCAATTTCTTTATTGTTTCACTATTAAACGAAGAAAAAAAAAAAATTAGAGAAAGAATCCTAAATCTTTATTTTTAGTACGATTTGTACAGAACAAATTGTACACGAAATGAAATTGTTTTCTGTTTTTCAATCTCTAAATTACTAACTACAGTAGATAGAAATGGTAACCAATTACCAAAGTACTCGAAATATAGAAACCGTTTTAAATCTTTTACACTGATATTACACAGAGAAAGAGGAATTTTCTCTTGAATTCAATGCACAATGAAATTGTTCATAGAAAAATTTATATCATAACAAAGCTACCAATTCACAAAAAATGGTAATTTGTTCAAAAAATAGAAATTATTACTTTTACTATCGTCTGAAAATTTATTTTCTCTATTCTAGTTGTGCCACGATCGCTGTAACACCCTGTACATCCATTCAGCGAATAAATTGGTACGTCCCTTACGTAACAGCAGAGATTCTTTCTTCAGAATGCAACAGACGATGAAAACCGTATCATCGCCGAAACACGAGCGTGTTTCTATTAAAACGTGCCAATTACAGCGCGCCAGTATGGCAATTAATCAACGAAAACGAAAAATCCTGTGCCAAGGGGGAAACTGTGCCAGTCACCGGGCCATTATTACATACACACAGCGAAGATTAAGGAAGATGTAGCAAGGGTAATGGCCCGTTTACACCGTAGCTACGAGCATCGTGGCAAAATCGATATCATTCGCGTCGAGGCTGTGGGAAGCTACAGGATGGATCTTAAACCACGATTTCTTAGTCTCCCGAGGAACCGCATCTACTTGACAACACGAATTACCCGAATTCCTTGTGTACTCCTTGCTAAATGCACTTTGCATTTCCATTTAGAAAACATAAGCTTCGTAAACAGCGATAATCCACCACTTGCAATTAATGGGACTGATAATACAGCAAATAAAATCACTACCTCTTTGGAAATGTAAATTATTGGCAATGTTTTTCAGAAGAATTAAAATAAATTATATTATTAAAAATTTGAAATAATAAAATTAAGAAATAAAATGGTTCTGTTTTGAATAATTGCAATTACAGTGTGTTTTAACATTATTATTGTGCCTGTTTGAAACTTTCTATCTGAATTAAATTATTTTCTTTTATAGTCAATGAAGTTCAAGTTTTCAAGTAGACGAATCTCGGTACCTCGGTCGTTCAGGGCGGTAACGAGATGAAGCGAATCGTTCATGCAAGTTGCCACGCTGAAGAGCTATCAACCGGTTTGCCACCTTTTCCTCTTACAACGGTGATTCTCCTCGGCCCATTGACAAGAAAGGGCTCCCAAACGATTGCCAGCGAGGCAATTGAGCTTACACAACGAGTACGTGGAGAACGTGCATCGGAATTAGAGGGTTTAAGGGAACAATCGACCGGCAGCTTTATCTTCCTCCATGGTTAGCACACCGATGTTCCAGCTTTTTCACCTACGATAAGAATGATTAATCTTTCGATCTCTTCTTATCTCTCGAACCAACGGGGATTACCTAGAATCTTCCCTCTTTTAAGAGAATTCTGTATCTAGTGAAAACATCAGAAATAGTCGGACACTGCATCTAGACTATTGGGATCTTTAAAGGATTACACTTAAAATAACTGTTTAAGCATTGCCTGATTCAATGAATAATATATGAAGTAATTTTTATAATTATTTTTAAAAATTTATCACATAGCAATTTAAAATTGTATATTTTATTTAGATTAATCATATTTTTTTAGTAAAATTTGTCAAATTAAATTTAAATTAATGTACAGAAATGAATTGCACTGTGATAAATTATTTGTTGTAATTGAACACGAATGGAATCATTATACAGTCATTTTCATTAAATTTTAAGATTTAAATTGATATAGCATAAGAGGTATTTAGCAATACTTTTAGGGCATGAAATTGTGTTAGACTTGCTAGATTCATATTTGCAGTAAGTAGTACAAGTAAATGATTAGTCAGACGCGACGAAGCATGAAGACTAACACAGTTTCATGACATAAAAGTGTCGTGAAACATCACTTTTTTCTATCGTGAAATCATGCCAGACTTCCAACGTCTCTAAATCAACAATTTGGCGCAGTAGAATTTCCACGTACTCCAAAATCAAGCAAACCCCAAAATGTCAAATTGTTCCTCGGGTATACGTACTAGCAATCGGTATCGCATTATCAACGAATCGGCCCTGGTTTCTCCCGTTGCATTCAAAGTGCATTCAGACGGTCTCGGTAAACCGTGGGAGTACAAACGTAACGAAGACCCGTGAACAGTTCGTACGTTCTCGCTCGTGCCGACGTGTAACATGCAGAACACATTCCGCTACAGATCTGTTCGATCAATCCGATGTGAAAGGTGTTTCCAAGCACCGGCTGGTACCTATCCTTTCACATTGATTCGCGAAAGCTTGGCCAACGTATGTATGTACAGTGAAGCCTAGAAAGCCGCGTAGAAAAGCGATAGAGCGATAACGTTCGTGAAAGAAAGTGGCCGTTCCGTTTCAACGAATCCGACGTTATTGGAACGGTCGCTAATAAAAGAAAGAAAAGGCGAAAAAAAAAAGAAAACTGTTGGATCAGAGTAGGGAACAACGTTCAGTGGTTTCCTTTAGACGAGGGAGAGATTAATGGAACCACGAACCGGTATCGCGTTGATTAAACTATTAATGAAGGGTGCGTGGCTGGCTCCTCTTTGTGCCTTTCGGTTTTACGAATCCTGGGGATGATAAAGCTGAATGCCGTATAATTGGGAAATGATCAAACACACACGTGGAACATGTTTACGATCGAATATTTTACGCTTAATTAATTCGGGTGATAGAAACTAATGAGAAAGATTTAATTAGAGAAATGAAATATGAGGTATCGTTATAGTAATTTTTATCATTTAAATATACTAATAATGTATTGTTCCTCCATCGAATCATGCCCATCGGTATTAAACAAAAGGAATAATTATTCTCTGAACAGAAACTCTTTCCTAATACTCCTGTGCCAAGTTTAATAAAAAAATACTTAAATCTCAAATCAATACGATATTAATATTCCAGCAGCGAGCAATCCTACCTTAATTAATTCCAAAGGACAAGGACTTCTTCAACATTTCGTTTCCAATAAAAATCACTTCTAAATGCACGATAATATCTGTCATTATTTATAGCCCATTCCTCGAGTAATATCTTTAAGCATTGGACCTAACCACTGTTCCTATCGATCCTTGTCCTCAGGATTTGAAGATAGAAGGATCCTTTTCCAAAATTAAATGTAAACAATGTAACATATAGACAACTAAAGCACGCGAATAACAAAGTAAACTATGTAATGACATTATCGTTGAGTGTCGTTAACGTTATTAAAACGCGAACGAGTTCCCAGAACTCGTCGACGAACACCTTTCGCTATTATCGCGAATATCCGCGCGATTTTCATGCAGCTACCTCGTGAACACTTGGAATCTTGACGAAGTTGATTGAGCTCGGGAATTTTGGAATTTAAATGAGCATTCGAGCCCCCTGAGACAACGGATTACAGCTGCTGCTTCAGGTTTTGGTCTGAACTCTGCTTCCGCATAGTTGGATAATTAGACATTTGTCAGGTAGAATTCAAGCGATTAAAAGCGGCAAAAAATAAAAAATGAAATTTCTAAGAATTTGTAGGCTAATTAATGACAAAATTAGCAGCATAATTAATTCGTGGTGTAAAAATTAAAGAGACTCTCTCATTCTTTTTTGCCTGTTCATAAACTGCTTACAGAAATGATTAGAAAAAACGAGTAGAAGATAGACGGTTCGAAAATTACGATAATAACGGAATGCATCGCAGCATGTTAACGCGTAGCCAGCAAATTATAGCATTAACTGCAATTAATGGAGGCGGCGACTCGAAAATTTACGACGGCGGGCTACCCGTTAAGGAAAATATGGAAGGCGTCCTCTCTGGCGAAGAAATTATGGGATCCGCAAACATTTCGCACGGATCCAACATAAATTATGTTTTCACCGTCTACGGCGACGCGAGTGTACGAACAGTATAAAGCTTTCGTTATCGCGGATTCCACGTTTAAATCCGACCACCCACCCGCGGCACGTTGTATCTAAGAACGGCACGAGATGAGCACTAATCTTCACGTTCTCCTTTTAAAGCGTTGGATCTTCAAGAAAGAACATTCACTCTCTATTATGGTCCCTTATGCAAGTCAGTTCCCTATTTCTTGACTTTTAAGAGAAAAGAAAGTGCGGAATTTAAAAAAATGAAAATAATATGAGATATAAAATTGAATTAAAATTGCGATCTTCTTCATGGTCCGTTCTCCGAGTATTAATAAAAAAAAATGAAAAATAATTTCAAAGATATACAAAAATATTCACTTGCATTTTTTTTTAAGTGCAACATTGCACTTATACAGAAACTGAAGTCGTCCGAATTGCTACAATAGAAATACCCTTAATTTACAAAAGGCTATCCCATTTGTAACAACAAATAAATTTTTCAAATGAAAATTTCTACAAAATAACCATAATGTAATGGTGACATAAAAGCGACCTAATCAGCTCCCTTTGAACCTCATTAAATGCTTCCCAACCATCAACCACGCTATTCGAACCCATAGAAAATCGCTGACTCCACCCTCGCCTTGAACCCTCCTGAAAACGCTCAGCGATCATCCACCCACCTCCGGTTCTCCTTCAAAGAATTCCCTGAATTCCCTTTCCAACCTAGCGTATCCCTCGTCACGATGTCCTCGAAGATGGTATCGCGTTGCCGGGATGCATGGTAGCTGACCCGACGACGACGTCGACGAGCATTCTTGCATCGGGCAAGTAGTCGAGGGCTGTAGAGAGCGCGTCAAGTAGAAGCGGTCTGCGCGTAACCCGTCCGCGCCTGGATTCGCAGCTTAAAGGGTGGCGCATGCGTTGGCCAGAGGACGACGCCAGCTACCAGAATCATTTCGCGCCGCGACGCCAAGCGGCACCGCATCCGTGTTATACGCGTTTGGTCCATGTGCGTTCGAAGTCGTCACCGTCGATCTTGGACGACGATTAAACGTGTCGATTCGCGCGTGTCGACTCGGGAAACGATACGATGATTATCCTGTGATTTAATCATCGTCTTAATTGCTAATCAGTGTTAAAACGGTGAACGATGAGTTAAGGACGAGATCAGGAGGGAAAAGATGCGAAAGACGTGCGACGATCGCGGCTGGCAGCTCGCGATGATCAGACAGGATCCACGTGAGATCGAGCGTGGCTCTGAACGCGGTTGCAGCGGAGCTGACACGCGCGTGCAACCGCGTCTCTGAGGATTTTCCGCTTCTCGTCACAGTTACGCGAAATTCTCCTTTCAATTTTCATCGATTCGCTTCTTTTCATTCCTCCTCGCTGATCGTACCGAGGATATTTTATCGCGCGTGTTGTGAACTGACTAAAATCCTCTTCGAAAGTGTTTCGAATCGCGAGCTGAAAAGGTAGTTGCGTAACCGGCTAAGTGTGTTCGGGTGTGTGGAAAATGTAAAAGATTCGTATTCGTAAGCTGTCGATTTCGATCTCGCACGAGCGGAATCGAGCGGATAAACGATTCGACTGAAAGAAACGATCGACAAGTGAGAACGAGGTGTTAAAAATGCTGTGTCGTTGGCTGGTCGTTCTGATATTCGCTGCTCTTCTCCTGGTTATCGAAGCGATCGCGGTCAGCAAAGGTACGTGACGCACGTGAAAGTTTCAGGAAAAAATTTGGCAAATGTGTTCGTACTCGTTCGATTGCCTTTCGAATTCAACTATAGAACGTCGAGATAAAGGCTCCTTCAGGATGCATTCGTATGCACCGTGCGGTTTCTCGGGTGTTCAACGGACAATTTCAAGGGAATCGAATGGAAACGTTCGTTTGGTTCGCTATTTCGTGCCCGTATGCAATCTTTAGGTTGAAGTGGAGCTGAGTGGTTCAAAAAGGAACGTGACAATTCGAGAAACTTTCTGTTTTCAATTCGTCTACAAATCGTTGCTTTTCTAGAAGAGTGATGAGTCTCAAAATCAAAATTTTTTAATTGGGCTATTTTTATCTAGAATTGAAATACAATCGCATTAACATATTTTCAATCCTTTTCGGGAAATTAGAGATTTTTAAAACTTGTTAGTTAAATTTGGCGTCACTAAATGGTCGAATAATTAATAATTCTTTTAGCAAAGGGGCGATATGAATTTCATTCATGAATCACTGAATACAAATTCAATAGTTTGAAATGCATTGAATTCTTAAACTGAATTTGCACAGCCATACAATTTATAATAAACTAAAACAATTGAACAGAAATTTGCCTGAATAAACTAATGATCCTATGAACGTGTTTACAATTTAACAGTGTTAAATATTCATGACTGTGATACATGTATAACTACTCACACTGGTATTTTCTAATTTATTTATTTTTTAAGTTACTGTTTGATATCAATTTCACGATACATTATCGATTGTTAGGTACGAGTCACAGATTAATTTATTCCATAGGCATGGAAGATATAACAGTTAATCTCGACGGTTTAATGACTTGGTACAAGTGCCAGCAGCGCATGCATTAGCAGCCATCATTGTCCAACTATGTCTTTGTACATTGTTGCATAATGTGGAGTCAAGCATCCGGGTTAAGAGTTTACGAAGCACTTTAGAAGCAGACGAACCAAGCTTGAGTTTCAAAGCCAGAAATTTCTTCCCCGCAAACCTCCTCGATAATTGACGAATTGAAATCGTAAACGATGCACAATACCTAATTAAAGGAGGATAATGACGGAAACTGAAATCGTTTAATCCTTTAATATTTGGGAAATGATTCTCTAATTTCATAGAATATTCTATATTTTCAAATTTCTTGGACTTTTAACGTTTCTCTACCCGTAGACATCTTCTAACGGTCTACGCTAACTTAATAATAATATTATTTAACTACCAAAATGGAATTGAATAATTGAAGCAAAACAAGGGGATATAGAATAGAAATGCAATCAACTAATGTAGTCCAAACAGAACGCAGTACACAATGTAATATCAACGAGAATGTGTTGATACAAACACGTTCGCTTTAAGGTGGACCAACAAGAGAGCTGTTAGCTCGAGCTGTTTAGAAATTAAACGAGAATCCTACGAGCGTTTTATGGGACACTGGTGCTAATTGAATAATTAAAAGTCAGCCCGATCCTGTGCCCGTTTCGCTCGGGAACGCAATGTCCGAGTGACACGCTGCGGCAAAGTAAATAATCACCGCTCGTAATTGTGCAATCAGAGAAACATGCTTGCTGCTCAAGTGACTACGACGAGATTTCACCGGAAATATAAATGTGTCAGAAATAACACTCGTAATACCGAGGAACGAAAGATGACGACTTTCCATCGATCCAGTTGTTGGTATTTCAAATAATTCATATTCGTCGAGAAACAGACACTATTTTTAACTAGATTATTAAAAGTTCAAATAGCTGAAGATTTAAGCAATGTAAACAAGAATTAATTTCATTTCACTGCTAATCATTTTCTAATTTCTTTTTTATAAAACAAAATTTTGAAATTGAATGAACTATTAATGAAAATATGCAGAAATTGATATATCGATTTGATATTTCGAACCATCGAGGATATAATTTGTGGGAAGCTAATATTTGAAATTGTAACAGTAATATTGCCAATAGTTTTAGGAAGTTCCTCAATTTTCCACCGAAATAATCAATGAAACGATAAGCACGCTTTCCTGTAAATTAAACAAAATATTGCACAGTGAAAGGTACAAGCTGAATGCAAAAAAAAAAACAGAATCAAAATCGTAGAAAAATTCTGCTAACTTCTTGCTTATCTTTATCACGAAAAATGTTCACAACAAGAAATATAAACGAGAGAGAAGCAACGGCACTCGGGCAGAAAAAGCGCCTCTCAATTCGAGCCGAAAAGTATCCCCAAAAGTCAGCACGAATTAAAGCGTAAGTTTGAAATTTCGTTGGCCGTGGAATCGACGAGGGGTCTGTGTAGGTGTACAAGCAAGTTCCGTACAAATGGTCGGATCTTTTAGACGATAACCAACTTTCAGCGCAGGCTTGGCAAAAGCTCATTCATCATCGTGTACCTCGGCCGAGCGCATTGTCCGCATCACGTGCACGCGCCCCGGGAACATTAAATCGATTCTCGTTCACGTGTGATTTACCGTGGCGAATTGAATCGTGAAAATGTGATCTCGCCTGCTTACGATTTTTCATCAACGATCAAGTCTAGCCGCGTATTCCGCCCTCTCCGATCCGCTTCGAACTTGTCTCTGACCATTTCTGTAAACAGGAACGAACAAACATCGGTGGGACGTAATTTTCTTCGACAAACAGGATTGCAGTGACAGCAGCCGGTTGGATGAATCGTTTCGATCCATCGTCCATTGTTCCGGATTAATAGAATTATTCCGCGATGGGTGTCCGCTGCGATGGTAATCACCGTGCGAGCTCGTTGCCATTCTCGTATTTTGCTAATTTTACCTTTGCTAATGTAATTTAAAGAAGCTTTGCTTCGTTCTTTTGACAACGAAATCGAAAGAATTCCATCTGTCTCTCCAAACACTACAGGCCCTCGACAGAGCAAGCTTCGCGATAGAATCAACGGCGCAAGGAAGTAAGAAGTTCATCCACGCGCTGCCATTCCGTGACCCTAAATCGTGTTAGAAAACTTGCACCTTATCATTCGGTGGAACAGTAAAAGGCAACGCACACCCGGGATTCTCTATTTATTTTCCCTTTTTCTTCGAGATCCCATTTCGTCCGACGAAGTTGCGTCACGTGCCAGCAGTCGTTTAGCGCTCGGTTTTTCTCATTTCACGAATCGTATCGGGAGAATTTTTGGAGCTAACTCGCTGCCTGATACGCCGCGACACCGCTTCGCCTCGCCTCGTCGAACAGAATTACTTCCTTCCATGTATTCTTCGACCAGTGGCAATCGAGGCAAAACTTGTTAAATCTTCCGACGCGGGCTACGTCCGTACCCTGTTCCTTGGCACCGATCGAGCCATCGTTGAATATATGCAACGTGGATAGGACGCGTACGACTTGACGAGAGAATGTTATTCGGAAAAATGTTGGCGACATTTAGAATGCTTTCTGGCAGGCTTGAATGGTTCCACAGGAGACGTTTTTTCGGGGGACAAAATTTATGCTGATTTCTTTTTTCTTTCCACCCGAGACTTCGATGAGATGTCGCGGTTCGATCTTGTTTCTTTTTCAGATCAGACTTGATGGTTTTTGATTTACATGAGAATCCTCTGGAGTCCATTTATTCTTCTTTTTTCTTGGATCAGAAGCAAGGTTATTCATTTTTTTTTTAATGGTACTTTGAGCTTTGAATGTTGCATCAAATAAAAGTTTTTTTGAAACAACACAGGTAATTTTAAACTGCCTTAGTTAAACTCTTTATGCCTTTGTACTGATAAAGGCACGATAACAAAGAGGAAGGCCTTTATGAAAATATTCCCGAGTTTCTTCTTATTATCAGACAATAAATAAGTTCAGGTATATCAGCGAGAAAAGTTGGTCGTTTTTACTTGAAAGAAAATTAGAAAGAAACGTTTAACTATCGTTAAACCACGATTTCAGGAAACTTATAATTTGTTCATGGCTGTATTGCTTGGAGGGAATTTCTGCTAACATGCGAACTTGTTAATTTTAATACCGTATCTCAAGATACATGAAACGCTTTTAAACTTCGAAATGCTTTCGAGCTGTTTAGCTTGAATCGTCTGCTAAGTTATCAAGGATTAAGTATAAACGATCGTGACAAGAAACTGTAAGCAATTTTTTTAAATATTTCATTCAGAAGGAAAGTGTTAGTTGAAATGTTAATATTGTAAAAATGACTATCACTAAGGATAGTAAACACTTTAGATAAGAACAGACTCTGCTCGACTTGCATAAAACAGAGCGCGGTTTCGCAATATAAGCCAGAAGTCTACTGTTCGGATACTTGAAACTGTTGGAACGGTGATTTATGGATCCTTGTACCGAACATTATGGAAATTTTTGCGGCTGTGTTTTCTTAATATTATTGCTCGTATGAATATAATCAGCAAGCTGTGCTGTAACACTGTGGTTGTGTCGCTCATTCGACCAGTGTGTTAAATAATTCCGTTACGCATTAGCCATGTCGGTATATAGTGTTTGCACTGCAACGTGAGCTGTGATTAACATCAAATATTGTTTTGACCATTGAACGCAATATAATGCTCAATAGGAATTTCTAAACCATGATTTCCAGTGTATATTAGATTTAGGAAACTAGCGCAACTAATTGCATAATCGTCTTTGTTTTAATATCTGGGATTTTATATTCTATTCTCGAAAATTTGAATCTATTTTCATTTGCATTTGAAGCTTTGGAACTTCAATTAATGGAATTTTTGTAAATTCCTAATTATGATTAATTGAATTTCTAACTTCTTAGATTTTTATCCAAAATAACAATTTTAAATTTGCAAAATTTCCAAATTTATTACAAAATATTCTCTATATTTTTATTAGGGAAGGACTCCTTTTTCCAAATAACCCTAAATGGAGCAGGTAAATTAGGAGGTCCATTTCAGGTGAGGAGCATCTGTTCGTTGATTTAATGGACACCCGGAGTACCGTGTAAACTGCAATATTGACATAAGGGTAGTTCGAATAGGGATAGTTTAACGACAATTTCCTG